TTGAACTATCCAAGAAATTAGAGTGTGTCCAAACATTCTCTTAGCTCTTTTGTCTCTTTCCAAAGTTGGATCGAATGACATTGGACATTGCCAGCTTCTTAATGTTTTGACAGCGATCTTAGGATATTATGTAATTGATTATTATTATTTAAAAATATATTTTATTGATTTTAGAGAGAGGAAGGAAGAGGGATAGAGAGATGGAAACACTGATGAGAGAGAAACAGAGAGAAACATCAATCACATCGCTGCATGCCCACCACTGGGGATCGAGTTCACAACCGGGACATGTGCCCTGACTGGGAATCGAGCCATGACCTCCTGGTTCATGGTCTGATGCTCAACCTCTGAGCCGTACAGGCTGGGCTATAATTGATTATTTAGATTAGATTTCCCAATGTGTAGTAAGACTGAAAGCAGAACTCTCTGTTATAGACAGAGATTAGCTTTCAGGAGGTGTGGAGATGAGCCAGCCAGGATTTATTTCTTCAAGAGTATTTAGTAGCCAAAACCGGTTTGGCTCAGTGGATAGAGCGTCGGCCTGTGGACTGAAAGGTCCCGGGTTCGATTCCGGTCAAGGGCATGTACCTGGGTTGCGGGCACATCCCAGCAGGAGGCAGCTGGTCGATGTTTCTCTCCCATCGATGTTTCTAACTATCTATCTCTCTCCCTTCCTCTCTGTAAAAAAATCAATAAAATATATTTTAAAAAAAAGAGTATTTAGTGAGTGTCTTCTATGTGCTGGGAGCTATTCCTCAAAATGTGATATTGCTGTGAGCAAGACAGAATATCAATACAAATGAATAAATAAGAACACAAATTAAAGCATTCCAATAGTGCTTTAATTTCTGAGATAGGAATAAAGCAAGAAAGGGGTTATAGCCTACTTGGGGTAGAAGACAGTGATGGCTTCTCTGTGGACTTGACATTTGGCCTTAGACCAAAATAAGGAGAAAGAGGCAGTCAGGCGAAAACGAGGGGAGAATCTTTCAGGAAGTAGCAATGGTAAATGCAAAGGACCTGAGACAACTTGGCTCTTTGGAGGAACTCAGAGAAAGCTAGTGTGTGGACCACAGTGGATGAAGGTTGAGTAGTTGGAGAAAAGGCAGGGGCTAGCTAGACCATATAGGGCTCTGTAGGTAATAGAGAGGAGTTTGGCTAATCTTCTAACTACAGTGAGGAATTACTAGAGGGCCTTAAGATGGGGAATTTTACCACTAGTCAGATTAAGCCAAAGAGTAAACCATCTTTTTTCTGAATAACTTGACTAAAGAGGATATTGTGGCTATGGCTATGCATGAAGATTAAGCAGAACATGGAAGAAGGACCTCAACTAAAATTGACCTCACTTAAACAAGAGAGGAGAACAAAACAGGAGTGTTAAAAGGATATAAGGATAATGACTTCTAATAATCAATGAAATGTTATATTTTATTATGAAGAAACATGGTATATATATCTTATATATTCCAGAAGAGATTCCCACTTAAAGTCATTGAAAAAAGTATTTTATGTTTACAACAATAAGCCTTTTAAGACATGTGGAAATTCACCTATCTAGAGCTTGATTTCTAAAGAGCTCAGACTTTATTATGGAAAATATACTATGCAATTTTATTATTTATAATATACTCAGCCTACTTGAGTAAAAAACACAAGGAAGTTTAAGGAATACGAATAACACTTAAAATAGCCATTGTTTCCTTGATATGATAACCCCTCCTCCCCAGGGCATTTAAATGAGGTGGAGGAAACCTCCACCTGGAATGAAAAACACTGCACTCATGTTCCCAAGAAAAGAGAAGTGGAATTGGAAAACAAAAACAAAAACCATCAACTCATCTGGACGCTCAGGAAAGAGTTTTTGCATTTTGGACCCATTTGCCTCAGCATGTGAATCATTTAACAGGAAAAAACACGGGACTGACTCAGCTGGAGAGAGCTCTTCCAGTCCCCGCTGAGGTCCTTGCTTGGTGTGGCCCCTCCACTCCCCTTGCACCTTGCTTCCGTCCTCCTTTCTCACTGTAGAGAAACAGGAAGGGATTTTATTAATAAGAATGACTGGGGTCACACTTAAAACAACATCAGATTTTGATCTCTTCTGGGCTTGGAAAATGGTTCAAGGATCAAGGAGCAGCTCCTGGTCAGATTGAGAAACAGATGAGAGGCAAGACCTCTGAAAAATGAACTCACAATTGGCATTTGACACGGGCCTCCATAGTGACCTAGAGCATGTCTGCCTTAAAAAGATCACATCAGTTCCTCCCAAGCCTCTGTGAGGCTGTAGTCCCTGTAACAGTGAGACAGCTGGGGCCTCAGCAGGAAAAGGGGCTTGCCCAAGACTGTGGGTGAGTGGTACTTGGATCAGGACCTTCTGACTCCCAGGGCTATGCCATCCTCCATTCATCATGCCTGCAGCAGAGGTTTGGAACACAAGGGAGCGTTGCCCAGGGTGGGATCTCCTAGCTCTTCCCCGTCACTAGTTGTTTACCCTCCTTTGCCTTTCAGTTGTATTTCTGGGCCACCTCTAATTAGCTTCTGAAATGGGGTATTCCTTCTGTGACATAGGTTGAGTTTCATTAAACTTGAAAATGAAGAGAGAGAGAGAGAGAGAGAGAGAGATATTGAAAGAGGGTTAGAGAGACATACACTGAGTGGCCAGATTATTATGACCACCTCATCAGTACTTCATTGACACTTTCAAAAATACTGAATATTGAAAACTTCCTAAGCAAATACTCTCAAGGTTTTATTATTATTATTTGCATAACTAATTCACTTCATTGTACTGATGGGGTGGTCATAATAATCTGGCCGGTCATAATAATCTGGCCACTCAGTGTATATTATAGTGTGTTCCCTATCCCACTTCAGATCCACAGAAAGTTCTTAAAGAACATTATAGCTATCTATGAGGGGCATAATGAGCTAAATGGGTGTTACCCAGTCTGAAAAATCTTAGGGATGTCAACAAGCCACTTGAGATAACAAGTCTCCTGCTGTTTGGTTCTCATTCCTTATCAGTCCTTGGGTTGGGAAGAGAAACTTTCTGGAAGGATAAGTACCTTTGTGGAGTAACAAGGAGAAGGTTTGTATACTCTAGACCAGTGGTTCTCAACCTGTGGGTCGCGACCCCTTTGGGGGTCGAACGACCCTTTCACAGGGGTCGCCTAAGACCATCGGAAAACACATATATAATTACATATTGTTTTTGTGATTAATCACTATGCTTTAATTATGTTCAATTTGTAACAATGAAATTGGGGGTCACCACAACATGAGGAACTGTATTAAAGGGTCGCGGCATTAGGAAGGTTGAGAACCACTGCTCTAGACTCTGAAACAAACCAGTGATAAGTAGTTCTGTAGGCTGACAATTTCCCCCTTAGCCTTCCTTTCTAACAGCTACACAGGTCACTGTTAGTTACGTAGAGGAAAAATAATAGTAAGAAAAAAAAAAATTCAACCCTTCATGTATATTCACCAATCATACCCAAAATTCACAGTGTCATTCTAACCCAAGTGTGATCTGTGATCTAATAGGGACATGAAGTGACTCTACTGAGGAAGTTCATGCAAACACATTGGCTTTGACTTTTTAGTGAATACAGATCTTTGTGTTCATTTTTATCACACCAACTGCTTAATGCAGGATTGTACAAATGGATTTGGAAATCTCATGAAAACTATTAAACTAAACAAGTTCATCTTTTAGGGATCATATCTGATGCATATATGATCACCTTCCAGAGGCAATCAGAGGTTTGCTTTGAGAAAGGGTGGGCACTTGTGAGAATGTCAGGCTACTGGGATATGAACCCTCATGTTACCAATGTGTTTCTCTATAACAGTGGGGAAATTATATTCCTTTGCTGTGCCTCAGTTTCCTTGTTAAATATGGGTATAATCACTGTGCCTATTGCGTAGTATTATTGAGGCCTGAGTGCAATAATATATAGTGAACCTTGCCTGTTGCCTAGTCACTGTTATGAAAATATCAATGAAGATGTTGTAGATGTATATTCACATGGAATTGTGATTTGTTTATTTAACCTATGTTTTCAAATTTAAGTCTCCAAGATTTCAAAACCATGGTTTCATCGCTTCCTCATGTTCATGCTGCTTCCTTTGAACTTCCTTGTAGTTCCAGTTGATTGACTCAAGACTGTGCAGCAATGTATATTATGCTGACTTCACCCTCATGTGCCCTGAGGGCTATCACCCATCAAATCAGGGAGCTGACAAGTGTGTTGGTGGGAAATAAATGAGGAAGAACAAGGATTAAAACAGTGTCATGAACTTATTTGTCGACAATACTTGTTATATGAAATGATGATCTTTTTTTCCCCCCAGATATTTGTTCTCTGCTGTACTGTGAACATGGAAGGAATATAATTACTCAGCAGCCATCTCAATCGCTTATCAGGCGGACTTGCAAAGACAGCTGTTTCAAAGTGCCTTTAAAATACAGTGACATTTTGCATTAAAGCCTTTGCTAGGACTGCCAGACTAAGTCAGTCATTATTGAAAGATATCGCCATCGTTAGGCTAGTTGTTCATAATAAAATAAATTCCCTTCATTATGTTCTTGGTACCATTCATCAAGCAGAGCTCTTCGGGGCTTGAAATTTAGCAGAGGGGTTAAAGAGCTAACCTACATCTAATCTTAGTAGATTGAAAATCTCAGTGAGATAGCATGGAACTTTAGCGTCAGCTCAAGCTTTGGGCTCAGTCAGACTTTCATCCTGGTTTAAAATTACTATCTTTGTGACCTAGTATTGAATCTCTATGTGGAAATTATCAGAGAAATATGGCAATAAAACCTTCCATGGAAATTGTTATGAAGACTCAGTGCGATTGACGTTATAATCATCTATATTGTAAATGCTCAATAATTATGAATGCCTTCGCTTTACTATTTCCTTGTCTCTTTCTTCCCAGTCTCCCAGTGCATTTGGGGGAGTCCAACTTTTACAGTTCTAAAGTATGTCACACATAGCAAGTCAGTCACTGGAGGAGGCATCAGCGATGTGAGGCCTTTGATGCTTTCTGCTATAATGGAGGCCAGGGGCCAGAGTCAGTATTTACACCTTGCAGCACATTGACCAGCTGTTCCAGCAAATCAGGTGAGCTGAGGGCGTGGGAATACTGAAGCATGTTTCCCAATGAAGTACTGCATATGGAAGTGGTTTGTAAATTGTCAAGGGATCTAGGATTGTATGGTATTACTCTTACTAGTATCAACACTATCCCTTCCTTCTCACTTTACAGGTTTGGAAACTGATACCCAGAAAGGCAAAAAGTGATTTTCCCAAACCCATTATCATCATCTCCATTATCATTGTAGCAGCAAATATAGTGCTTGCCTAGTGCCAACTACTGATCTAGGCACTTGCCATGTGTTAGGAGAAACCCATGTAATCTTTAGAACAACCATGAGGTGAGTACTGTCATCCCCATCTTACAGATGAAGCAGAAGCACAGAGAGGTCACACGGTGGCAAGTGGCTGGGATTTGGACCTCAGCAGTTTGACTCCAGCATAATCTTTTTGACAATGATGCTATATATATACACTTTGAGAAATAAAGCTGGGCTCAGAAGATGAATATTGTTCTCTTTTATGTTTGACCCTTTCTGTTTTCACTTTATAATACTTTTTGACTTATTTATTAGTTAGCTTATGAGAATGTTTTTAAAAAATGTATCTTTATTGTTGAAAGTATTACAGATGTCCCCCCTACTTCCCCCATTAACACCCCCCTCCTCCCCAGCCCCAACCCCTCCCTAGGCCTTCAGAGAACTATTGTCTGTGTCCATGGGGTATGTCTATATGCATTTCAGTTCTTTGGTTAATTCCTTCCTGCCTGTGCCCCATCCCCCCTTCCCTTTGAGATTCGTCAGTCTGTTCCATGCTTCCGTGTCTCTGCATCTATTTTGTTCATCAGTTTATTTTGTTACTAGAGGCCTGAGTGCATTGGAGGGGGGGGGTGGTCCCCCTCAGCCCGGCCTGCACCCTCTCCAATCCGGGACCCTTCAGGGGATGTCCGACTGCCCTCCCCTGCCAACCTGATCGCCTCTAACTGCCTCTGCTTCTGCCCCCGCCAGATGGATGTCCCGAAGATGTCTGGTGTAATTAGCATATTACCCTTTTATTAGTATAGATTAGAAGCTGGGTGCATGAAATTTGTGCATTGAGGAGGGGCTCCCTCAGCCCAGCCTGCACCGTCTCCAACTGGGGACCCCTTGGGAGATGTCTGACTACCAGTTTAGGCACAAACCCTGTGGGACATCTCTCTTGCAATCAAGGACCACTGGCTCCTAACTGCTCACCTGCCTGCCAGCCTGATCACCCCCAACTGCCCTCCCCTGCTGGCCAATTTGGTTCTGATTGGTCGGTTTCTATGTCAGCGTCAAAAGTTCCAACTCCCAGGCAGCCATTGGCTCCCCACAGCACCCACATTTGGTTTTGATTGGTTGTTTTCAATGCCAGCCAGCGTCAGAAGCTCTGCCTCCTAGGCAGCCATTAGTTCTTCATAGCACCCACATTTGGTTCTGATTGGTCGGTCCTATGCCAATCAACATATAAAACTCCGCCTCCTAGGCAGCCAATGGCTCCCCACAGCACCCATATTTGGTTCTGATTAGTTGGTGTCTATGCCAGTCAGCATCAGAAGCTCTGCCTCCTAGGCAGCCATTGGCTCCCTATAGCACCCACATTTGGTTCTGATTGGTCAGTTTCAATGCCAGTCAGTGTCAGAAGCTCTGCCTCCTAGGCAGCCATTGGTTCCCCACAGCAACCACATTTGGTTCTGATTGGTCAGTTTCTATGCCAATCAATGTCAAAAGCTCCGTCTCCTAGGCAGCCATTGGTTCTTCACACTACCCATATTTGGTTCTGATTGGTCAGTTCCTATGCCAGTCAACATCTCCAGGCCTATCTCTGGGACTGATCAGAGAGGCAGGGCTGAACAGCAGCCCCTGCAGTGGCTGGGAGAGAAGGAAAAGCCCTGCTGCTGGCTAAGCTCAGAAAAAAATAGGAAGAGAAAGAGAGAGGCAAGTACCGATCAAAGGTTGCCACTGAGGCTGCAAATCAGACCCTGCCTCTCTCTGGGTCTCAGCCCCCTGAGCAGTCAGTGCTGGGTCGCTGCGGCAACCCAGCCCTGACTGAAGGACTTCCGGGTTGGTCAGCATTCGGTTGTGATTGGTCTTTACAACCCTGGACTTTTACATATTAGGATGAGAATGTTTTAAAGATTGAAACAATGCACATAAAATGTATTGGTTACATGAAAAGAGGCAATAACTGCTAAAGTCAACCGAACTAATTTAAAGTTGCTTTGAGACACTTTCTTACAGGGGTGATGATGCAGAGGTGAAGAGTGGAGAGGTGGTTTGTTCAAAAGAAATATGAGACATGTCTTTTGCAGCCTAGCTGAGGAGAGAAATGAAAACAGTCAAGGCCAGCAGGAGCTGGGGAAGAGAGATGAGTTTGCACTGAGGGTTTCAGGTGAGATATGGAGCTGAGAGCAGTGTCCGGGGTGGGAGAGGTTCAAGAGCGGACAGGTGCTATGCTTAGAATGACCAAGGACCTAGATACAATGTTGGATAAGAAATGGAAAAAACCAAAACCAAAACCCCAAGCATCTTAGTTTGGAGAAGAAAAGAGTCAGAGAGCCATGAAGGCTTACTTTTAATATTTTAGGGCTGCCACGTGGCAAAGGGATTAGATTTGCCTGTGTTGTTCTAGGGGACAAGGAAGGGCACATGGTGCAAGTGGGGGAGAAAGGATTAAAAGCAAAACGGAGAAGATCTTTCCAGTATCAGCGACGGTGACAGAAAGGACCACTTTCACAACCATGCAGCTGTTGGTCACTGTAGATAGATGTGGAGGCAGAGGCTGGATTACTGGTAATGTTGTAAAGCAGCTTTCAGACCAATGAATTTTATATTATATTCTCATTTCCTAAAACTTATATATGTGTCATGTGCATACAAAAATACACCAAATTTATATACACCTTTTAATGTAATGATTTCTTTTTTAAATGAACATATGTATTTGAGAACAACCTATCATACGTATATTTTTTAACTTGGAAAGGCTCAGAACATTTTCTGAGGTCACAACTAAAAGGCAAGATTTGAATCCATCCCTGTCTGACTTAAAGTGTAGTCTTTTTTCCACCCCAGAAGCCCATAATCCTGAAATTCATGGAATTAAGAAGGGAATGGGAAGACAAAACATGGAGGCAGTAGGCAGAGAATACTAAATGGTAAGAGATTAGGAGCTTCTAAAATAGGAACTGGCGTGGGGGCTGTGACTGGAAGGTGACAAAGAGGACCGTGAAGTCAGCTGGAACTGAATTGTGACAGAGCAGGGCTGTGGAGGCAGAGCAGCCGGGCGTGGTCATCCCGGCAAGTGGCGGATGTGGAATTAAGACAGAGTTGTTGACTTTCTTTCTTTTTAAATGTAAAGCCCTTTACAGCGAGTAAAAATGTCCCCAAACCCAATAGTATGCTTATTTCTATCTTTAGGCTATTTTTATTTTTAGACCTTCTCATCCTTTAACGATACTTATTCTTTTGAAACAAAATTTCCTCGTCTATTTTGCTACGTAAGCCAGAGGTCATCTCTGTGATGTGGGAATAGAAGTGGTCCTTGCTACTCGGGTAGAGAGTGGAGTCCAGCCACTGTTAGGGCCAGATTGGTCTTAGCCGAGTTAGAGCCTGACACCATCATTTACACAGTGTGGTCTGCCTCCAAGACAGAGGGAGGTGTTTTATGACCACAGGCTTTATGAGTGGTAGCTATAAAATAATCAGTCTTTAAAAACAAACATTCCACAGTGTCTGCATTCAAATGCAAGTTGTCCTTCAGAGCTGTGACCTTGGGAACATTTTCACATGTTCTGGTGAGAACCATATTTGAATTCTTCACTGGAAACATCCTTCTGGTCCAATCGAACCTGGGACCTTTCAGTCCACAGGCCGACGCTCTATCCACTGAGCCAAACCGGTTAGGGTGGCACACTATTTCATTGTGGTAAAACTGGTATATGACATGTGGTCCAGGTGCACAATATTATAATTCGACATATACTATAAAGTGATCACCACCAAAAGTCTAGTTACCACCCATCACCAAGGTACCCTTTATTTTTAACCAAAAATGTTTTATCTTGCTTGACAATCAATTTTATTTCCAAGAGGACTGGTTGTGAATGCTCGCTCTCAGAAAGATAAAACCCATTATTAAGAGACAGTTGTGACCACCAAAGAGGTAAAAATAAGGGGGTGCTGATTCTGAAGACCATACCTGAAGCAGAACTACAAAGATAGCTGGAATATTGGAGTATCCTTAGCATGAGAGAACAGCCTTTCAAGATGTTATTTTGAAGGATATATGTAAATGTCTAATTCTTAAAACATCTCTAAAATGATAATAACCAAATCCACTACATATCCCAACTTGTTTAGGATACTTTTCATGTTACCGCTTCATTTCTAATTATGGTCACACCCTACTGTCACTCATGAAAATTAGCTCTAACTCAGCCATACCCAGAGGTAAGGGAGATCTACAGTAAGTATTGTGTGAAGGTATGCAAAGTAAGTAATATTTATATACTATTCGAAGACATAAAAATGCACTTACTATTTTATTACAAGTTAAGCTCTTTGATCTATAGGTATGTTCATAAATATACACAAACATATGTGAAAATTAGTTCATTACATTAGTTCATTTGTTTGTAATAAGCAAATACTAAAAAAAACAACAACCAAATGTCCACTAATAAGCAAATTAATCAGTAAATTATGGTATATCTAAAGAAAGGAATAACATACAATTGAAAAATACACATATATACAATGGTTTATATAGGCAGTTTTGCAAAACATATTGTTAAATAAAAAAGCCAAGTAAAAACTATTTATATTTCTCAATTTAGAAAATATGATAAATATCTGGAAGGGTCATAAGAAAATGTGATGGCAGTTACATTAAGAGAATAAAATAAGAGGTCTATTATAGGTGAGAAAATATTGAATATTTTCTTGTGTGTTTTATCATGAGCAAGTATTCTTTTCAAAATAATAAAAATAAAAAAACAAAATAACAACAACAGTTTTAAAAGATAAAATATACAATGGAGCAATGTATTGATTGACTAAGGTGTGGTTGAGAACAATATTTGGTCTTCTTTCAAAGGTGGTGAACTAAACTCTTGATTCTTGCTTTTTGGCTCTACTTGGATGGGGATGGAAGTCAGAATGTCATAGCTTTTTATTTGAAGGTGAAATATTGAGCCTAGTAGAAAGACATTCTGCACAAAACTTTTTACATTATCTGACCTCTTCTACTTAAAAACAAAAGAAATAAACATTTATTTTTGGACACTTGATCAATTACTATCCTTTGGGAGCTGAGGGTTTTCTTTCTTAAAAAAAATAATTTTTTTATTGGGGGAAGGGAGAGAGAGAGAGAGAGAGAAGATAAAAGAGAGAAAAACATTGACGTGAGCTAGAAATACCGATCTGTTGCCTCCTGTATACATCCTACTCACAATCCGGGTATGTGCCCTGACCAGCAGTTGAACCTGCC